TGAAAGAATGCTGCAGTTGCTATGGCGCTTCCGTTTCAATCGTTAGAATATGATTCACCCTCTAATCCCGAACTGATACATTAAATTAATAGACAGTACACGAACCTTTTCTCACCAGGGAAAAAAACACATTTGAATTCCGCTATTCTATCTAGGTTCAAGGCTAAGATTAGGTAATGCAAATGACCAAGTTTCCAACTCCTGAACTCCTTAAAATACGGATTACGTTATTTGCATACTATACAAATTCCTTTCATCCTACGCTATATATAGCTTTCTCAACATGTTAATCCATTGCGTCCTTGTCCTTTGTCCAACCCATTTCGTGTACATTCTCGGTAGAATAATCACATCCCTACAGTGTAAATGGCAGTGTGCTAGCATTGCAACGATTGAGCAGCATTGTACTTAACTCCCCTTCTTTTATCCGGTCTTTCTGGTCATTTGAATTCCTTCTCCCTTATCTCTGCAAACACCAATCGCGGACAACTCCGATAGTATTCACGAAAGGCTCGAGTCAATTATCCAATTAGGTTTATGAGTAGGACACAGGACTTTATATTATGGATTGGTGAAGGTTCTGTTACAATTAGCTGCGTGGGGATGCTTCCGCCCTTGTAAAAAATACATTAGTAAACGAACACTAATTGATCGTATCAAGATATATCCGCACATCGTTCGTTTATAAAAATCTCCGATTGGTATGTTAACCCTTACTTTCGTATCAGCCAATAGGCTTTAGGGGGTGGTGAGGTGGAAAGCAAAAATTTACAAGCGACATAGTAAAGACAATTACTACTATCAATTGCACCTAATATAACTTCATTGTAGTTACTACTCCGAGTCAATGCTAATTCAGATGACAAGAAGAAAACGTCAGAAATGAGCGCACACTAAATTTACTTCTTATAATCGAATCGTCGCAGTGAAAACGCCTGAATTCTTTAGACAGAATACAAGGCGTTTCAACGCCTTCGCATGCGCAAATAAAACCTGTACGGTGGCGTAATTGGGGCGACCACAGAATAAGAAATGTGAATATGGCATTGTTGAGAGAAACTAAAAATGCAAATATTGCATGTTATGTAATATAAGGAAAGAATTAAAATTTTAAGTGCCGCCTTCCTTCTGTTTGGGAAAGACGATTACTTCTTTGTCAAGTCGGCGTTGTATTCGGAATCGATAATTGAAAAATTGCACATGTCTAGTTTCTAATTTCGTCACGCAATCTCATCACATTTGCACTCCCACGTTTATTATAACAAACACAAATGCCCGAATCTTTTGTATGTACGTAATCAAATGTTTATCTTTTGGAGGTAAATCGAAGCCTACAGACGCAATGGCTGCAATTGGAAAGGAGATTGGCGGGTTATTCAGGGTAATTCAGGTGGGAATAATAATACGAGACTGGTGTACAAGCGTAACCCAAATAACAAAGATGCTTTGTTATTTTGACATGTTAATTAATTAAGGTTCTTAAGACAAAGCTTCTGATTTTATTCTACTTTTCGAACGGTCCCCTCCTTTAAAGTATTTCAAATATCAAGCGTATATACGTTACACCATACATGCGATCCCTAAATCTTAAACGCATTGGAAGTAAAGAATTTAGACAGAAACTCGGCCCCTCAATAATTAATTGGAACTTTTTCAACAGCAAAACCATTAAAAATGTCAAAATCCAAATGGATGTGAACAATAGCCCTAAAAGGTTGATGCTTAAAATATTGTTCACACGTTTGTCCTTACTCTCAAACATGAGACGTATTCCCAGATTTACCGCAGAGAAATGTCCCCAGCATGTCAATTATTGACATCAAGATCGTCCCATCCAATGCAAACAGTATATTTATCACTTCATTGTTATTTCTAGCTCTCAATTATTTTATTGCTCTCGTAAGCAATTACAATTAGTATTCAATTTTATTATTTTTTTTTCTTAATTCAAAATCCTAAAAAAGCTATCAATACGAGAAAAGAATAATGGAATTTACACATCACGGTGCTCAAACCGAGCTCACCAAGCGTCCGACTTTAACTACAATGTTCGAGAATATAAAACTTTTTGAAGTGAAAAAAAAAAAAGAAAGAAATTCACGTAACCTATACATACAACCGAGTCGTTGTTAAAGACCCGAATCCAAATGTTCCTTTTGATAATGAAGTTCTTACAATAAATTGGAAATCACAAATTATTGAAGCTATGTCCATACTAAAAGATATGACAGAAGATCTACAAGTTCGGTGTTTTTGCTTCATGAAATTTATCAGCAAAGTTGCCATTTCAAAACCACGACTGTGCGCGCCCAAGTGTCCAAGGGTACAAAAAAAAGAGAAAGAAAAAGAAAAAAGAGAAAAAAAGAAAGGAGAAAGACAAAAAGCAAAGAAAAAATGAAAATTGATCAAGTTTTCTAGCAGATACACATTTCTAATCTAATTCTGAACCCATCCCCCCAATAAATCTTTCGATATCAATCTTACTTCCTTCTCATTATATCTCTCTCGTCCGCCTTAATCCAACCCGCTAGTACAAAGAATTCCCACAACTTACTCGCCTTGTTAACATCGATATGTAATAACTTTTGTGCATCTGATTTTCTGAACGGCTGCTCTCTCTGTACATATCTGTTGGCAGTCGATACGAGCGTATATTTAGCATTGAAATACTGTAATGGCGTTAATCTCAACACTGAAGCCACAGATGCTTCGGAAGGATGCATGGAGCTGTAATGCGGCAACGTCGTGATATTTAATGGAGACCCCTTCCAAGTAATTCCATGATTCGGTACATTGATACGTACTTGGTCTAAACCCAAGTTATCGATCGCGGCTTTCAGATCATGCCATTCCATAGCTGGAGGTGCAGGAGCTTTTGATACACGGACAGTAGCACTTTCTCGTGTCGAAGTTGACGTGATGCCCTCGTTACATGTTTCTCCGTTTTCTGATTGAGGAGATGAAGTTGTATTCGTGCTGTGGTCAGATAAAGTGTGAGAAGACGTTACCGATATCGATGCACGATCGGCGAGTACTCGTGCCATACTGTTTGATTTCTTTTTTCGTTGCACTTTATCGTATGGAATCGGTCGCTTCTTTTTAGTGCGACGACGGGATAGCTTTTTCTGTTCTTGTTCCAATTCTCTTTCTTCGTCAGAGAGAATTGGTCTTGGAGAGTGTGGTCGAGGGTCTTCAATGAATTTCAATTCTTTTAGATTTCGTTCTAAAAATCCACGCGGGTCTTCATTATATAGACCATATACAGTTGTCGTAGGAGGAGTAGGTGGAAGTCCTTTTGTTGGCTGCTTACTTGGCGATCGCATAGGGTATGGATTTTTGCGACGACCGCCACAGTCTGGACGTCGTCTGACTGCATGGGATAGTGTACATAGTTGGTGGTGATGTTGGTGATGTTGATGTTGTTGATGCTGTTGTTGATGCTGATGTTGATGTTGATGATGTTGTTGATGATATTGGTGATGTTGATGTTGATGGTGATGTTGATGCTGTTGTTGCTGTTGTTGCCGCTTTTGTTGTAGGGAAGGTTGATGTGTTTGATCATCGTCTTCCCGAAGTAAAATCCTAATTGATTCTGGAAGGTCGTTGAGCAAGTATCTCGCACCAAGAACTGTTCGCACTGGAGCTTGAAAGGACGGAACAGTAGTATTGGCGGGCGTGACAGGTATTGACGTTATTGAGTTCGGTGTGGCTATTGTTAATGCTTTCGTGGTTGGAAAAGGTACGAGTAGAATATGGAGTAAATATCTCGTTGATAAAATAAGAGCCGATTATCTAATGTTGTTGTCGTCATTTTTTTGTATCGTATATATGATTAACCCTTCTAAAATATGGGGCCGATTTCATATGTATGATTGTCATGCATTCGTCCAATTATATGTCACCAAATTTATATATACTAATAGTCTTATTTAAGTTTATAATAATGCATCCCGCTCTACATACAGATCATTGAGACACATACCTGTAGTTTCCTCCTTCTTCGTCGAACTCTCAGTAGGGTTTAATATGAATGAAAGATCCGTGGGTGTTTGGGGTGGAGACATTGGACCTTTGTTGTTTCCGTGACATTCTGTCATGTGAGTGTACATTTGGCTTAAGCACAAAGTGGATAGCAGCGAGGCTACAAAGAAGGATTTGTCGAGTGAAGCGTAGATGTGTATGTAAGTAGTTATATGGGTGTATGGGTGTGTGTCGGTAAGGTGCTTAACTGAATGGATGAATTGAAATCCAACGTAGTGTGTGTAGAAGTTTTTACCTTTACAGTTCTTAATTACTTTCGAAATTTATGTTTTATGTGCGTATATTTTGTCTGGCCGTTTTGAAGTGAGAGGTGTGTTGGGGGGAGGAGTCAAGTATATATATACTTTAGTGTATATTATTTATAGTGTAGATAATTTATATGTGATTAAAATATGTGACATCTCAATATAGTAGCAATATGTAAGTAAAGGGCGTTTTTAATTAGTGATACCACACTGCAAATTCTCTTATTTTTATACTGACGTAATTCATTATCAACTATCATGGTCGGGCAACCTCAAATATAGACATCAGTGAGATAACCTCCATAATGTAGGGTGTGATTAAAATATATGTACATTTATAAAATAGGTGGACAGTGACGATTAAATGTCGAAAAGCTGTAATTTGTTGTCAAGCGGTATGAATGGGTTAAAATGCATTGGTTTTATTTTATGCGTATAATGTGTAAGGCTCAGTACATATATCGCCAAATTTATTTGCCGAAATATCCCATAGGATGGGGTGATATGTTCGTCCCATATAAGATATAGTGTATATAACGTTTCTATTTTGAAGTGTTTTTCCCATAATTCGTGCAAGCATAATTATAATTGCACTAAATATAACCGTTATTATTATTATTTAATATCATTATTACAACCCACTGTAGCAGTTTAGCATCCTTTATTTCGTTCTCATTTATTGTTTACTCATTATTAGTTGAGTTCAATCGTTATTGAATAAGTTGACTATAATTGTCTTAATGCTTAATGTATTGTCTATTGTTAAAAAACCTGACCAACACTAATATGGCAACTCAGTGATCGAATGGGGGCAACAGACAGAAGCAAACTTTCTTCTATTGACTACTTATGATAAGCTATATAATGCCATGTGGGATACTTGGGTGATAGTACGACAAATATATTGAATATATTAAATCAACAGTGGTTGGTCACCACACTGTTACATCCACGCTTTGACGAGCATTCTTTGCGGCGTAAGGTTCTTGGAACAAAGAAGAATCTATGTCGTCGCAGATTTTTCTACTGCTCGCCAAGATAGAACAAAGATACCATTGCTAGATTGCGGTAGAATTATATATGATTGATTACGTTACGTACTTTTGATCTTTATTTGGGTGAACAATGAGCAAATTGAAGAAACTGTGGACTGATCACTGTTTGAATTTCTGTTTATAACAGCCACTGCGCCACTACTCAAACAAACATCAGATGATATAATGTCTCTACGCAGTATTTGTCAATTGAATTCAAAGCTCGGTCCACTTTATCTTTTGTTTATTGTGTCCACTAATCTTTTTTACATAAATTAGTAATTTACATAGAGGAAACCCTATTGGTTACCTTATAAAGCCAATGGGATGTAACACATTGATGACGACATTGTTCGATCATTTAACTGTCGGGGCACCGCGAATTTTATACCGTCTTACCGATATTGATTACGGATATCGGCAATAAATTATGTAAAATGACATTGCTCTTGAAATTAATACAATGTAATAATATATAATATTGAGTTTCATGTTTTCAATGTGAGCTGTGATTTACTACCAACAAGTTCGAATTTCCATATGCCAAGTAAAAGTGGCGTGAGGTTTAAGCAACTGGTATTATGCTGCCCATGCAACTGTTGTTTGATGCACAAATGCGGCAAATGAAGTGTAAGCGTTCTTTACGTTTGAGTATGTGTTACGACAAATAATGAAACTTGGGTGAATTTGGCGACTTTACTTCCTATAGAAGAAGTCTGATTTTACACACATATTTTTAAACTATTAACTGTGCCCATCTTTTACTTATTTGTATTAGTCAACTTATCTGCTTATTAAATTATACGTATTCCCTGTTCCTTATTATTAGTAAAAATAGTCCATTTTCGCTATTAACAATTTTGTTATGTTATTACTATATTTATTTTCATATTATTTTTCTGTGCTCTGCATATACTGTATGTAAGAGGGCCAGATACCTGGCTGATGAGTAAGAAAAATGAGTACTATATACGTGAATTAATAAATGTAATTCAAATTAATTGTAGGCCAGAGTTTCTTAATTATTGACAGAGATGGATCCTAACATAAAAAAATATATCAATGTGAAAGTGGATAATTGTTACGAAAACAGCGTCAATTCGTTCGAGTCGTCTTTGTGGATGTGCATAGTTTGGCCATATTGTTAGCACTGGTATACGCAACAAGTTTAATATCCCAAACATGATATGCAGTAGATTCGTTCATGTATCCGCACTTATTTCACAACATCCATGCTGCCCATCACAACTCGACCTGCAATAATATTGATTCATTTTGTTTTTTGTGCAGTAAACATTATAATTGGCGTTAATTAATGCTTTATGCAAAGGAACAGACCATTCCAAATCATTTGACAGGCATTAGGATGGGTGAGTATTGGTGAAGGGCTTACAATGAATAGTTGAAGAGTTATACGGAAATTCATTAGCTGAACCATCTGACGACAAAGGCTAATGGCCGATAAATTAGGGTTTGGTAATTGAAACCTCAGACGTCATTGGATCATACTAACACACACATAAAACTTATTGGTAATATTTGAATCAGATTCGATACAGTCACAAACAATTTTGCGACATGGGCTTCTGTGATAACGACAAAAGTCCGATCAATTTGCTCTCACAAATTAGCTTTATCATTCGTATAAATGTACAATCTTCAAATCGTATATAATTTCTCGATATAATTATATGCCATCATCGTACTAACACTATATGCGTTTTGGTACTTTGGAATAAATTAGTAAAACCATCGTCAATCGGCATGCAGTGGTAGCACATCCCAGGAATAGCAAACTGTGCATGAATTATTGAGATTTTTGGTAAACCTATTCGATGTTTATAGGAACTGTAAAATGACATGAATGGAATGAATGGGTCGAACAAACTGAATAGATGGTTTGAGAAATCCGTTACAGCCACATTACACGGATAATGTAATTTCAAGGAGCTTTACCTCCCATGTCAGCAGGCTAATACTTTGTAATTAAGCCATTTATTGTATCTCTTTCATGATATAATACTCATTTCTATCATTTGTCCCTGATCATATGATTTTTATAGTTTTAATCAACACAGAGATGATATTCCGATTCTTTGTTCTAATTGACACCTGGATCAGCATTAGATTTACATTATGGCGGAAAAAAAATAACGTAATAATAAAGTGTTCCATAACTCATTAGTGTATCAGTTATAGATGTTTAATTAACTTATTCATTCACTATGTTCATACTGTTGCATTACGTCAAATGGATCCCCTAATGAACCCCTAATGAATACAAAGTTTTTCCTGACGTAATACCCAATGAGTAAATGACAGCGGAGGTAAGTGACATACGAAGTAATCCCGCCCCAACCCTGATAAACAATAGCTTACTGAATATATTGTCGGTTGATTAAACTGGCATCACATGATTTAGCACCCACCATAGCGCGACAAACGCGCAATTACTCGTAATCAGAACAAAAGGCTAAGCTACCGCCTTATCATACGCCGCCATCAAGTGACCCTCAGTTCACATTACCCGCTGATGAATATCTCAAATAGATAAAGTAATTATATTAACCTGACAATTTTAAACAACCACCCTTTTCTCTGATCTCTATCAAAGAAAACCATGCCCGTAAAGTTTGTCCGATCACGCGCCAGTTAGCAACCAACGTATTACCCCCTACGCTTTTTAACCCCGCTCGCCAAACGCCAGGTGCTTCTCGATAATTCAATATCATATGTTCTCTTCATCGTTTTCCAGAATACTAAAATAAGCAGCCGAACAATTGAATTATACAATATAAATTCCTTTATTTGCAAGTAGTACCTCATGAGGCAGAGAAATGTTCGAAAACTGGAATATTTTATTGCATACTGAAACTAGTCTTAGATGAAAACTATTGTAAAAGCCATACGGGCTATTCAATTAGAATCAATCAAGCTAGTATTTTTACCGTACCATTTTGTATTAAAGATATTAACTAACACATGTCAGTTGTTGAGATCCTCAAGACGAGTGTTTTTAAAAATCTGATTATGAGAACGATGACGAAAGAGACAGAATGTAGGTAGCAGATTAAAGCTTATTTAGAATATAATGAATATATCCTTTACGAACATCACTTTCCCCTATTCTAAAACACAAAACACAGACCTTGTTCTGACTTCCAACTTGGAGATTTGTATTCCTTAATTAAATGCTCAACTTTCCAAATATCTTTGGACTTGGGTAGGTAATTCCTCGCTGATCCACGTGTGGCTTTTGTTCTATCTACAGTCTAACCATCAACAGAATACATTCTTACTTATTTTCGCCTTATTATTGAATTAAATCATTATTACCGAATTCTCTCACAGTGATAACCCGTCAGAAGCGTCGGCGAATAAAAGTGAGCCCATCTCTATTGAAAATAATGCAACTATGCAACTCCCATTAATTATTATACTCGGCAAGACAGGTAGGTTGCTTTCGCCATAATGTAATGTTCGTAATTTGCACTCAGATCGGTGTACGTGAATTATCCACCGTTCAATGGTTTGTTTTAGGTGCGGGCAAAAGTACTCTCGGAAATCTATTGATATACGGAGATCCAGGGAAAGAAACATTCAAAATCTGCCATGGGCCTGTGAGTTACACCCGTTTAATAAAATAATGCTTATAAGTCCCCCGCAAAGTATAATAAAATTCAAAATTTGCAATAGGATTCAGGCACGCAAGACTTTGAATCATGCGAAATTGTAATAGAAAATCGGAAGTACCTCATTTGCGACACGCCAGGTTTCCTGGATACACGTGACATGGACAGGACATTTGAAGTTTTCGGCCGGAACCTTCAATCGATAAGCGAAATCAAAGCGTTTTTGCTTGTCCTGGGTGGATATCTGCTGCAAAAGTACAATTGAGAGTAAGATGTTGATTAGAACTAAATCATTCTTTATTAACAATAGAATTGGGTAGAATGACACCCGAGCAGAAGTCTCTCATAGCATGTATGTCCACTTTTCTGGGCAGAAGAGCAAAAAGGAATACGATCCTTGTGTTCACGCATCTAAGAAAACCCGAAAATATGACGAAAAATGATGTTGTCGAAAGGGAGTTGCACGAACTGCAGCGCACATTACTGAACGAGACGGGGAACGGGTCTGTTTCTTATGCCTCGCCCGCCTTCTACAAGTATTTTGGCGAATATTTTGACAATAATACGAAACGACTGAAGACCATGATTAACGACATGGAGCCAATGTCTGAATATGACATACGGGTACACATGGATCCAACTGGTGCATATAATGTTTTAGGACAGATCGAATTGAAAAAAAGGATAGAAGTGTTAGAGGGAAAGCTGAATGATCTCGAATATTTAAAGAAAGATCACGCGAAAATGAAGAAAGACTTTCAGGACTTCCGCGCAGAGATGGGGCCCCCGCCTCAATCTGAGAAATGTTTTGATCTAGACACTCGAGTGTTACTTGAAAACAACGTGTTCATTCCGATGAAAGACGTTAGCCTTGGCGATAGAATCTGTTCTGGAATGCGAAATGGCAAACTTGAATTTTCTGAAGTCTATCTCATTACACATAATGAGGAGATTGCGAAGACGGAATACCGTAAAATCGGTTACAACAATGGATCAGAATCAGGTGCATATGTCTTACATAGTTTTGTTTCTTCTTTATCGCCATCCTTGTTTACGAATTGACCAGTCTGACGAATTGGGAATCATCAAAAGGTGATAATATTAAAACGTTCAAATTTGTTCATACATTACTAATAATAGGGGTCCTTCGTCTGACAGCATTGCACCATATTTTTGTGAATGGTGACAGAACAACCGACTTTGCTCATAACCTGATACCGCTGAAAACCAAGATTCTTGCTTTTAATGGAAAGGAATTGGTCCTTGCCACAGTAACCAACGTCACCACGGTATGTGGATAATTCGTAAAAATAGTAATTGCCAATTCCCTCTGATATTTGAGATTTTAATTCATCAATTTTCAATAGGAGTTCCGTAGGGGGTACATTGGCATGTTCACACGCAAAGGAACAATTTTGGCAGACAACGTTCTCTGCTCATGCTATGCCGAATGCAAGCCATTGCAAAACTTCATTCACCTGGTCATCTTTCTATTGCAATTGATTACATTACTGTACTCTTCCGGTGATTCGAAAAAATTGCATCCTTACCTCCGAATATTGATGCATATGTATTCATTGGGCGAAGTGACGATAGAGAGCGGTCTCGCTCAGCGGTTACAGAAAGCGCTTGTGGCTGTAAATAGAATAGGATTGAATTACTATATTATCGCTATTGTATTTGCCATCGGACTTTATCTTTTATCGCAATGATCGATCTAGACGATAGTTAAATTGGCGCAGTATTACAGTACACGTGATTTGTATGCATACCCTCGTCCGATGCATGTCTCTGTGCATATGCTGCACCCTGTGCCACCGGATATGTTATTTTATTGCCTGCATTTCATGCATGCCCTTTCGGCTTTATTTATTTCCATTTTATGCGTCTGAATGGCTATAAAGGATAAATGAATGTATCACATATGGATAATAATATGGGCAGCTGTTACTATGTATAGTCCTACCTTTATGATGGTATCATAACACCTGATCATTGGATACATGCATATTCGCGTGATGTTATCTTTAATGATTTTGTTTTCCATTTGAGATGTTAAAAAGTTTATTGTGATGCGCATAAAATATAATGGCGAAGCGCAGTGAAAAAATGGAGCATGAGCTTTATTAGTAAGGCGCAGGGATGAAACAAGTCGGAAAGCAGACTACCATGTGGAGAGACAGCGCATTAGGAGCAGCAACAGCATATTAAGAGCAGCAAAGCACATTAGGTGCAGCAACAGCACACTCTGCGTTTGTAACGAAATTGTCGTCATACGCAGCGCAAATGTTGCAGGGAGTTCCCTCCCCCCTTACCCACGCCCCAATATTTGAATTAGTTTATATTAATATAGAAAGTGAAGTCAACGCCACGCGCGAGAGATAAACTAAGGGGATATTAACTTTATAGTCTTGCCATACTCGTCTCCATGTTATTGTGTGTGTCGCGTTCCTGCATACAATCAATAAACTTTATTAATTGTAAGAGCTTAGTTAAAAATGGAGAACAAGCGAAAAGACAAAATGGCAAGCATAAACAAATGTGTTAATTTGGATTAATTGCTTTCATTTGTGCATATTATCGCGTGTGGCGTGATTCCAGAATACTTGTGTGTGTTATGACGGACATTTACGGCTGCAAATTCTCTACAAGCGGCTATGCGCATGAATAAAATATATGTACAGAATATTTTAGTGCTTGGTGACATTTGTTGAGTATTAATACATTAAGTCACACTTTATTGTCACAACACTGTATGTGATATGTGATGATACGTTTTTGTGCGTCTCTTTGTATCCCTGCAATCCTAACGCAGGAACAGGAAATCTTAAAAATAATTAGCGTAATTATGCCATGCATAAGACGATAGTGTTAATGTACGTTAACACATTCGTTTTAATTGCGTAACGTTTCCGCTGAGTATTTTACGGGAACGGTCAGTCAGTCAAAAAATTGGCAAGGTTATAGAAATGAGCAATTTTTGATAAGTGTTGTAATACAACACCTCGAAAAGGTCTTTTCTTTCTCATTTCAACAGATTGATTGTTTGAATTTACAAACGTAATAAACTTTATTCGCTAAATTTAACATCTGCCTAAACCAGAAATGGTATGTTTCAAATCTTCTTGTATGCGTATGCATCGTATTTAAGGTAAATTATTTTTTTCAAAGTTTTATGAAAGATTTATCCGCTCGGACCAACCCGTTCAACTTTGTAAAGTTTTGCACTTTGAAGACAATTCTGTGTATATTTTACAAATTAATAATCTACGAATATAAAGTAAGCAAACAATGCATCTTTACAAACGCAAAAGATTTGTATCAAGCTAACTCGATACATTGAATAATTTTTCCTTTTATGACAAACAAATTTATTTATTCGAATAATTTCTACTATTTTACGCGCATCGATTTTTATTCACATAGAAGACAGGTTTACGCACATGTTCTACTCTACTGATATAAAGTAATCAGGCAACGTATGTTTACAAATATAAATCAGAATTATCAAGATAATAATTTGTATATAAACTATCGCAATTATCAAGTGATAGATGGACTTGTCTGTTTAATTATTTCACACGCATTCACACAAAACCAGTGGTGCGCAATGCGTCAAATAGTAGTTCACTACAATTTGTACAAAAATAAATTAGAGACTTGTCAGATTAACTATTACGCAAATCTTATTATAGAATAAATTAAAAGTTAAGAGAGTGTAAGTCATTATTAGTGCAATAAACTAGCCGAAGTTATAACCTTTTCGGTTTAAAATAATTCATATTATGAAAGCCCATAAATTTTGCAAGACAAACTCATTGAGAATTTTATTGAACGCACGCTAAATACGGCAAACCTTTAATTCAACGAAGTGCTGATAATTAAAAGGCATATTCATGCATACGTTTCTACATTACAATTAACGCATTGTTTGCATAACTAATCGATATAGTTGGCCACGCTTTTAGTTCATGAATCATATCAGTGGTCTCTTCGTGTACAGCGTCGCGATTTAGGTTTCGAAATCTTTTGCAATCTGGCACAAGTATACGTTAAATTAAACACAAAATGGTCTTTACTGCATGTATTTGAGTATCAAAGTGAACAACACAGTTCGGTTTTTATTCTTATTCGCTTGCACATTTTATCTACTACACAAAAGTTTCTGTGATTGACGATTTACTTTTATTTCTTCTCCCCGTTAAAATTTGACTGTAAAATAGATCTTGGTCATCTGATTCATTCGCGAATTTCGGGTGAAAATGTACAATAAAATCATGTGATAATACGACCAATTATTGCGTCATATGATACTAGTGCCATAACGAACATTGATTGTGTCATGTTGGACATGCCGCGCGTGTGTTATGGTAGACATTAGTTTTATTTATGAGTCGTTATTCCGTTTGTTACAAAATGTCATAGATGGTCCGTACAGCCACAAGCCCGTGGCGGTATAATTTTGTGTGAGCTCTGCCAACATTTGTATTATGATTTTCTGGTTTTGCGAAAAACAAAAGCCTGGTTACGCATAGTTTTTATATTACCTAATTGCTAGTAATTTAAATTCGGGGTGAGGGGTTTCTGTAAGATTTAGGGGGGGTTTTCGGACGTACCACCGTGACTATGAAGGCATTAGCGCGAATTATTAAATAGCTTTATTAATAATCGGACATATTATGATGTAGCATTATGCACTATTTCGACAGATTATTTGTCTGACTTTTGTATCTGATCATCTCAGGCTGTTGGTTGTCCATGGGGTGAGTAACCGTCGGTTTTTCCCATTATTGGTAATTGTAATATTTACTTAGCTTAACCTTGTCTTTCATCGCATCGCAAGAGAAGATTGGTGGGGCTGTAATATGTGGTGATCGGGTTTATCAGCAATATGTTTTGACACATCCATTGTGTACATTATCTTCAATTACAAGACACCTGTCCATTGTACTAGTAAATATAAGCTTGTTCTCTTATTGCAGTAACAAAACAAATAGTGTCTACATCGTCCACCCGAAAATCCTGTTATTTGCTTATTGCCACATTATGATAAATGAAAATCAAACAAGTGGATGGGCAGATAGTATGGTGATATTTGCTCTCGTTGTACATACATAAAGATTACGGTAGCGTGTCGTCTGCTTCGTCGTATATCATGGGTGTATACGAAAAGATGGTTATTCTACAAATGGTATGTGTTTACCCAAAGTATGTTTGGTATCTATATTACAAAATATTTTGTTTATGGTGCCAATTAATTTTGTTGCATGGCAAGATGATCTGCATCTATTGCTTAGCACCGTATGCAGGATTTATTGGCTCGATCTTGTCATGTGTCATTCATGTATTATACATCACGTGATAAACGTATCAGCGATAGCTTTCGTTCAGCGTTTTCCTACTCTTACAACCTTCCCCCTGCAATAAATCCACGCTGTAACTAGATTGATAACCTTAATTCCAGACAAGCACACACTTTGGATGTTTAAAGAATTATCCGGCAATCAATGCCCATGTTATAAAAATTGTTCAGTAACAATGTCTGGCGTTATCGGATTGTATTATTGTTCCCTTCCCAGCATAAATGTTGATACTAATACGAATATACAGTTTTACAATGATACAATGTGCAATTGTATGAATTGTATTAATATATATATAGTACAATATCCTTCTGTAATATACTATTATCTGCTAATCATTACCACAAACGCTACAACAATCTTAATACCATTTTAGGATTAATTGCAATTGGGCTTCTCGTTTCTAGTTTGTCAACCTGTTCAATATCATCTGTCTCTCCACGTGTGTTACTTCTGAGATATATTTAGCCATATGTTATCATCGGAGTAAAGGTATTCCACTGCTCTCCGTTCATCAGAGTTTAAGCTAAAATTGGTGAAACATAGGTTAAATGTTATCAATTATCCTATGAACCAATTAAGAGCGGAGTAAGAACTCCGCAACCCCGTGCATTGGCTCATTAGGAACATTGTATTGGGACTTATTGTACGCATAGACACGGAGTATTGCGAATGTGAATTTAATAATAGAAAACCAGTACTACGCCTACTTTTTTGTTGTATATATTTAATAAGTGATTAGCCGATATCATAATTAATATTAACAAATTAAGGTGATATTACAAATATTACGAAAGGACTCCCCCCACTTTTTGACCACCCCCGATAACTCCGACGTACGCCGCTAAGATAAGCATTCATGTGCATGATTGATTATGTTTATATCTGATGACAACGAATCGGTTCGTCCTATTAGTTCTCTGTTTACTTCCCGGCTTAATCTTATTGCCACACAGTCTTGATAAACTCGATAAGAATAACGTTGCGAACTGTAAATAGCGTACATTTCAAACGGTGCGGTGGGATGTAGTATGAAATGCGAGGGTGGTCTGTTTGGGAAGGAGGGAGATGCCGAGAGGGGAGTTAAAAGTGAGTTGAGAAGTGACAATGGAAAGGAGAGAAAAAATAAATGGTAAAAAGAAACAATTAAAGTGACAGAGTGAATAAATAAATTCTCATGCTGACTATTGTTGAGGGGGGTGTGACTTGTATTATCTATCTATGATAGACTCGCTCGTGAACGTGTGCGATTGCGCCAGATGTTTATTCTATCGAGTTGAATGGAAGATATTCCCCATTTAATACAATTATCCTATTTAAGATATAGTTTGACCATGTCTGGTGAACAA